CAATTTCTTTGAATGTCCCTTTGCTCTTGTGTTATGAGACATAGTTAGCAGAAGTTCCCAACTTACCTTACCTATACCATTTATTGTATCACATCCTTTCTTATACCTTCTCTTTAAGATATGTAGTCCCAATCTTTTAAATCTCTTTTCATGAAAGTTTTTTCAGGCTCCTAATTACTCTTGTTGCCCGTTTCTGAAACCCCTGTAATTTTGTTGTGCCCTTTGAGCTATGGTGACTGGAACTGGTACAGTATTCCAGGTGAGGGTCTACTGTTGGCTTATATAGTGGCATTATAATTTCTGTAGTATCTACCTTATCTGTTATCAAACCCAGTATATTTGTTCTTTTGACTGCTGCTGCACGCTGAGCTGTGTAAAGAAATGCCCTTGTCTTTTTCCTGAGTTAATACAGTTCATTAAAAACCTTGTAAGAAGTCTGAGTAGTTCAGATAATCCACATTAGAGGGAACTACTTTGCATTTGTAAACACTTAATTTCATCTGCTATCATGTTGCCTATTGACCTACCTGTTTTAAATCTCTCCAAACTTGCAAATTTTTCTCTGGTTTTGACTAATTGAAATAGTTTTGTCATGTTTAGCTTCACTGTTTGCCCCATTTTGAGATAATTAATATCTGTAACAGTGGTCCTAGTGCAGAATTTTTTTTTTTTGCCCTGACCATTTGTACTTTGCATTGTCTTCGCCACCCTGAAACTCTATGGATGTCTGCAGACCTCTTGGAATTATGAAATCTCAAGTAGTAAGGAAGTGAAATCTAACAGAGAAAGCTATTTTTAAAAACAGTTTTATACAACTATTAAATGCAAATTACTGACAAACAGTTGGGAGGCATGATCTCTATGATTCAACGCCATTGCACCTTTAATTAAGGGCTCAGACCTCTCCCAGGCAACTTTTCTGAGTCCGCCAAGAAGTTCTCAGACAAAAGGATCACAAGACTTCACATTCTTGATATTTTTGAAGAAAAAACAAGCAGGAAGGAGAAAAATCTTTGCCTCCTTCAGATTAAAAATAATTCTATTTTTACCCTCCAGTGCTGCTTCTAGTGCAGAGGTGGGCAAACTATGGGCTGTGGGCCCCTGCCCGGCCCCTGAGGTCCTGGCCCAGGAGGCTAGCCCCCGGTCCCTCCCCTGCTGTTCCCCCGCAGCTTGCGCCGCCACCGGCACAATGCTCTGGGCGGCGGGGCTGCGAGCTTCTGGGGCAGCACAGCTGCAGAGCCCGGCCTGACCTGATGCTGTGTGCTGCGCGGTGGCGACAGCGTGGTTGGCTCCCACCGGGCGGCGCGGCTGTAGCACTGCCAGCCACCAGCGCTCCAGGCAGCGCGGTAAGGGGGCAGGGAGCGGGGGGGTTGGATAGAGGGCAGGGGAGTTCGAGGGGGGTGGGGTGGTGGATGGGGGTTGGGGCGGTCAGAGGGCAGGGAACGGGGGGTTTAATGGGGGCGGGGTGCTGGTGGGGCAGTCAGGAATGAGAGGAGGGGTTGGATGGGGCAGCGGAGGGCAATCAGGGTCAGGGGTTCCCCGGGGAAGTCAAGGGACAGGGAGAAGGGATGGTTGGATGGGGCAGAGATCCTGGGGGGGGCAGTCAGGAATGAGAGGGGGGATTGGATGGGCTGGCAGGGGGAGATCAGGGGCAGGGGTTTCCCGGGGCAGTCAGGGGACAGGGAGCAGGTGTGTGAGTGGATGAGGCAGGAGTTCTGGGGGGCCATCAGGGAACATGGGAGGGGGGGGTTGGATCGGGCAGGAGTCTGTGGGGGTGGGTCAGGCCACGACCCCCTCCCCTCCCCTCTCCTAACCGGTCCTTCATACAATTTCCAAAACCCGATGTGGCCCTCAGGCCAAAAAGTTTGCCCACCCCTGTTCTAGTGATTGGTTCTCAGAGCCTCTGCAACATGAAATCTGTCTGGTTTTGAAATGAAGTAATTGGCAACTGAGAGAGACTTCCAAAGTCTCATTGTGCATGTGAAAAACTTACAATGCACTGGGCAAGCTGAGCTGAAATTTGATCACAGTCTGTCTTTCAATGCAAAATTCAGCATATTTGGGGTGGGGGGTGTTGAATTGAGACTGGGCTTCTGCTTTCAAACATTACACCACCATAAACCATGCTCATGTGACAACTTCCCTTAAAGCCACATCATTTGCTGAGAGACCTTAAATACAGGGCTTGTCAACATTTCTGTGCCCTAAATAGGAATAGTACTTATGAAAGCAAGTTTCTGTGAAATTTAAAAACATTCCCTCTCCCTCCAGTGTTGAGAGCCTGAACACAATACACTTTCAGTAGGGTTGCCAATTTTGGTTGGGTGTATTCCTGGAGGTTTGATCACATGACATGATCTTTAATTCAAGATTGGTCTCCAGGACAATCCTGGAGGGTTGGCAACCATAACTGTCAGTGAATGAGAAGGAAAGTAAAACACTTCTCTGGTGAAATGCAGAAAGTAGCCAGCTGCAAATGACTTGGGAGAAGGGGCACACTTCTTATATTGTCAGTCGGGGAACCTAAAAGTGTCTGTCTTCTAGATCCTTAATGCTTAGTTACACTACATCACAATTAAGATGTCATTTTAAAAAATACACCACCACTTTGGCAGCACACAAAATTATTAACACCATTTTAGGAATTCTCCAAGTGCTGCTGGTCTTTTTTTTTTTTTTTTTTAAGGTGCTGTAATCTGATCTTATTTCTACAACTCAGTTAAAAGTTAGCTAGTTTTCCTCCCCCTTTCTCCCTCTACCTTGAAAATTCAGCCATAACTTAATATCCCTTTTCTCCCTTTACAACATTACCTCACAAATTCAACCAAATTCAGAATTCATCATAACCTCTCCTAGAGGAACTCATGAATTGTCCTATTGTGCTTACCTATAGTATTAGACCAGTTTCTCATAAAGGCCTCTTTATACGAAATTAATTCAGATACTGCTTTCAAAACCAATTGGCTTTCAAACCTCCCTTTTCTTAAACTGAAGATTTGGTAACATTCATCTTTCTTTAAAGGCAAGTGTCCCTTAACAAAGGAATCTTTAGCATCACAGTATCTTAAACATTCTTGCATGTAATGTTAAATGAACAGGGAATTCTTTCTTTTAGAAGAGATCTAATTACCACACTCTAAATTGTTTGAGAACTTGAGCACAAATGTCATTAGCAAGTTTAGTTTGTCCTTTCATTGCTGCATCTATTAGTCCAGGAAATATATTTTCTAGTGGATAGGCGTATTCCAGGTGCAGGTATATTTAATGAATTAATGTATGTGAAATCTTGGTCCTTGCTAAAGTGCTAATGGCAAAATCTCTTTCCAGCGGTCTTGTACAACCTTTATCTCTTATAAAATAGTAATATAGGCCAGAATTGTGTGCTTCTAGCATAGGACTATTGTTTATTCTAATTTTTTATGGGTCGGAAAGTTGAATATGGTATCTCAGCAACAAGATATGTTAAATTTTAACATAGCTTTGCACCCAATTAACTTTAACTGGATTGTAAGGATGGGCAGAGTTTAGCTTGAAATGAGTAAGGTTGATGAAAACCTTTCTCTTTTGGAGGAACAGAGACTGGCTGTTGCGTGAGGCATATGATTATAAAGCCATTCATCCCCCACATGTGATACAGAACCCTGAACTGGGTCTTTTCTATCTTTTGCAACAGCTACCCTCTCTTTCCTCCCTCTGAGAAGAGGCTGTCATCAGTTGTTAAAAGACACAAGCCCAAACTCGGCTTTTGGTAGCTAGAAAACCCTTATCTTTCCTCTCTTAGAGGTTTGTTTTCTTGCAACTTAACTCTCCGTAAGTACCGGTAATTTGCTAATTATTTTTGGATCCCAAATGCTTTAACAAATTAAATGAAACAATTTTAAATATAACGTTCATTCTCATTACAATAGTTCATTGAAATGTCAAATTCTCTAGAACAAAGAAAACATGACTTGAATACAGATTTAGCTCCTCATTGTTTTAATTTAGATCCATGTAGGTGTTGGTAAGCCCTGTAAAGCCTCCAGAATTTCTAGCCATTTTAGCAGTTTGGTTTGTTGCCACGCTGGCCGCTCCACAGTAATTTGGTACTAAAGCACTTAGGATTTGTCTTCACAAGAAAACTTCAGCATGTTTGAACATGACTGTCAAGATTTAAGTTAGCCTACATGATGCTGATTATGTCTGACCCTGGTTAGTGTAGATCAGGACAGACTGTCTTCTGTGTCAAGTCAGCTAAATTGTAACTAAACCCTGAGGTTAGCTGGAATGATACTGGAGATTGGTCCGTTTTTTCAGTCATGGTCAAACACCGTACAGTTTTCTACTGAAGTCAAGCTCTTGGGTTACTGCTGAAATCTACCAACTTTGAATAAGAATCTGAGTCTTTGAACATAGATGTAGGTTCTAAGCCAGTGAAGAACTAGGAGCCACTTTGAAGCAAAGCTTCAGTATCTCTGTTACTGTGGAACACTTAGGCCACATAAACACCTAAATAGAACCAAGGTGTCTGTTTTTCTGTTGGTAGCTTTCAAAACAATGGCCAACTGATAGAGCTAGAAAGATCTCTAGTCAGAGTTTAGATGGCAAGATGGCTGGGACAGTTATTGTGTGATGTGCCTCCATGGGAAAGCCTAAGGCATAGTGTCTACAGCAGTGACTTTCTATCTTCCAATATCATTCTTATGATAATGATTATATCTCTGGGCTAGTAAACTTCCTTAAAGACTTGCAAAATCAGCATTAATCCCCCTTGGTGCCTGTAATTCTAGAACATGTCATTCCTGTGTAGCATGCAGGTGGGGTTACTGTAAGCCTTCATTAGCTCACATCTGAAATGGTTTGTACAGAGTTCTGGGGGCTCTACTTCCATTCCCCAAGGAGAATGAACCTTTATTCTAGCTAGGAAGCAGAAATGTTGTCGGTTTAACTTGTGTATTTGCTTACAGTGATTCAGCCATTATGTTCCCCCTTCCACCCTCCTGTAAAGTTTCCCTCTATTGGAAAGGGAAGTATTAACTGGCCAAGTGATGGGAAACTAATTGCAGTGATGACTGTATAGTTTTTGTTACTAATTTCAGGGCCCTGACCACACACCCTGAGGTTGCTGAACAGTTGGATTTGCACAGCATGCTATGCTCCACTCTCCTAATGGGCTAAATGAGCATAGGGAGACACATTTTATAGGGGCACTCTGTTTACAACAGAATCCATAGGCCTGTGTGAACAAAACACTCTCAGCTGAGTCTGGCTGATGGGTTGGGAGCTATAGTAACTCAGTACGAGGTGAGAACCTCTTCAGCCTGAAGAAACTTCTGTGGAAAACTTTTTTGTTCTTAGTTCAGCAAATGTGTGCTGTGGTGCCAATTCAGTAAGGGTTCCTGGATTGTGATCCTGTAAGCTTGTCTCCTGGTGGGAATCAAAACTGATCAGACAGTTTCACTGCATTTGAAACAAACCTCTGCCTTCTCAGTTTGGTGAAATGACCATGGTAGGTTGAATCTCAGCATGTAACTTACTAAGGCAAAACCACTGGGCCAGCAGGATTCTTCATGTCAGTCCCATGCTATGTGCATGGTGGAGTGGCAGCATCTGTGCTGTTGTCCTAATGAGAAGGGTTAGTAACTACACTTATTTTGTTGTTTTTGAGGCAACTATTTTAAGATGGAGACTTCTTCAAAGACCTACTGGCTCCTTGGGACAGGGCTCATGTCCTCCCATCTTTTGTGCAGTGCAGAGCATGCTGTTGTCATGTAACTGTTTTCCACAGCAAATTCTAGCAGTTGTTACTCCAAGAAGAACATTGGTCTCCATAGCTAATACCCTTCTTCTGCTTGCTAAGCAAGAGAGAGCTTTTAATTTTAACAGCACTAAAGCACCATATGGACTTATTCCTTATCTTACCATGAGTTCATTCCCTATTTTAAGCACTTAAGCAATAAGTAGTATTGCAGTTTCTCTCCAGTTTCTTCACTGTATCAGCTGTGTTCCATTCACAGGCTGCTGATTGTTGTTGAGCATTAAGAAACAGTCCTTTAAAACTGTGTTAGAATTAGCATCTCGTGTTCAGCTAATTACTGTTGTGCTGCTTGACGTGCAAGCATAGCTATGTAAAACCACCAAGAAATAGCTAGATAGAACTTTGCACTGGAACTGATGTATGGAATCTGAAAGTGAATTCACTGATTGTATAGACTGACTTAAACAGATAGTAGAAAATGTCGTAAAATTATGCATCCTTTAAGGGTTTTGTTTAAGGATGTTAATTTCCAAAGCTGAATGTACTGGCTTTTCCCCTAGAGACCATTGCAGGAAGAACTTGCTGCCAATGGTGATGTTCCTTTTACCTCCTGACTGTTAATAAAATGAAGCTGTATTTAGGAACAAGAGCTCAGATGGGCCTCGGGCAGCTTGATTTGCTATTGCAGCATTCTCAGTGCTGTTGGGGAGAGACTGAGTCATCAAGTCAGGTGACTCTTTGCTGTGTGTATGGAATTTCTTCCCCCTCTGCAGCAGGCTTTTTGCATCCCTCTATGTAGGAGGCTTGGGGGGCCTTTTGGGAAGGACAGTCATTTGCTACTAAATGCTGCTACTTTAGTGCTGAAATCTGGGGTTGCTTCATCTGGCCTGTGGACTTTTGCCTGTCCTTTTCCCTTACAAAGCAAGGTAAGAAATCCTTTGATATTTATGGTATGATAAATCTAGAGTCATTTGTTTCCTGCTACAAAAAAGGCATTTTATGATCATCTCATCAGGGTCTTAATTTCTAAGACAGATTTTTGTCCCAGGATATAGGGCTCAAATTTTGAACAGCATTGAATGTCTCTCCATCAGTGATTACATGCCAAATTTAAAAGGCAAAAGATAGTAATCATGACAGAGAATATTGGGTGCTTTCTTACACTGGCAGCAGAAAACCTTTCACTTCTTGGGGGACAGCTCTGCAGCCAAGTGACTTTACTGGGGGGAATCTAGGTTGAAAACTACTGGGTTTGGGGCTTTTCTGTCTGTTACTTATGGATCTGTTACTTTTTAGTCCGTTACATTCTGTGTAACTGCTCTGCTCACAATGCGGGTAACCAAGGAAGAGTGAATTGTGTGTAGTGTTTAACCCCAGGGGCTGGGGGAGTCCTCTTAAGGGACTAAAAGAATTTAGTAAAATCCTTGTGTGTCCAGCTCTGTTAACATAGTAAGGTGGTCTTGGCTGATAAAGGTCGGTAGTGTGGTGGTGGTGGTGGCTAAATGCTAAACACAATCAGTATCTGCGCTTGTAGTGCAATGCTGGCCGGCAGATAGCAGCCTCCCATGTGGGGGGCACAGTACAGAATATAGTGACACAATCCTTGCCCCCTAAGGAGATGACCGTATGGTCTAAGATGAAAACCTACAGAACCAACCTGACCACCAGCTACCAGGAAGCTCAGCTGGGGGGGGATGCAGAGCAGTGGTTTCTGAATAGTGTTCAGTATTTCAAGGATTGTAGCCCCTTGAGAAAGGTGTCCGTGCTTCTGGGCCTTGTGGCTTGGCGCACCAGGATGTGGAGGCGGTTCTGACCACATGGGAGAAGGATCCGAAGGGAGTATTGAAGCAGGTTTCGTTGCCAGGGTATTGGAAGCCTTAGCAGTGGATGTTGGTTTTAGAGAGGTAAGCCAGACCAGTGTTATGCAGACATTGGGCATGTCTACACTGCAGCTGGGAGGTGTGATTCCCAGCCCAGACAGACCACGCTATGTCAGCATGCCAAAAATAGTGCAGCATGGGCAGCCGTTTGGACTAGTCACCCAAGTTCAAGCCCATCCAACCCCATGAGTTTGAGCTTGGGTGGCTAGCCTGAGCCACAGCCTGTGCCACAATGTCCCCACTGCTATTTTTAGCATGCTAGCTCGAGGTGTGCAAGTGCGAGTCTGTGTACCTGGGCTGGGAGTCGTATCTCCCAGCTGCAGTGTAGGTGTGTCCTTAGAGGTCAGGATGAGGCACTTGAAATGTTTGGGTCAAGGGCAATCTAATGGAATGATTCCAAAACCTTTGACATGGAGAGAGTGGTGAGTGAGGAAGATGACTTTGGTAGCCTTCTGGACAAAGTACAGGGAAGCAAGGGGGAAGTGGGGATGCTAGAGAAGGGGAGGAGATTGTCTGTCTGTCTGTCTGAAAGATGGACAAGATCTAGGTAGGGTGTTTTTCCTATCCTATCTCCTAGAACTGGAAGGGACCTTGAAAGGTCATCTAGTCCAGCCCCCTGCCTTCACTAGCAGGACCAAGTACTGATTTTGCCCCAAATCCTAAGTGGCCCCCTCAAGGATTGAATTCACAACCCTGGGGTTAGCAGGCCAATGCTCAAACCACTGAGCTATCCCTCCCAGAAGGCTTTTGCTGCAGGTCTAAATGAATGTGTTTGTCTGTCCTTGGAATGATTGCTTTTGCCTCATGCTGTGGGCTCTTCAAAAGCTCTGACTGAAGATGAGTTAAACCTTTTCAAATAACCTCACTGGCTGTGGCTCACAGCTGACTTTCCTGATCTGAACAGTTTGTGTTTGAGCTCCAGAAGGAGCTGCCGTAGAATGGTGTGACCTGATCCAAGTCCCTTTATGCCTCTGTTAACCTAGGTGGGAGCATGGATGAGGAGCAACAACTTTTTTACCTCTCATGGTTCAGTCACATCAGAATGTAGATTGGTCTTTGGTTCAGCACACGGTTTTAAGGATTGTGTAGGTAGGAACTAACCCTGCAGTAGTGTTAATGGCTCTGGAGCTTCCGTCGGTGAACAATCTCTTGGAGTGAATGTTCTGGGTGGAATTTTAAGTCCTGCTGCTTTTTCAGTGGGGCATGTGGAATAGCACAGCTGGAGCCACTGCTGCACTGACTCCCTTGCCTGTGACTCCTGAGCTTCAGGTGGCCTTTTGGTGACGACGCCCTCTTAAAGTTGTGAAATAGCTGATGGAATTCTCAACAAACTTTTTAAAATTGGCTTCTAATGCTAAGCTACACAGTATAGCCTCCTAGTGCTGAGGACTCCACTCTGTTCCTGAGCTACTGCACGGTCACAGGACACTTCGTGCCAGAAGGACTAGATAGCTCTAGGAATTAGAAATGGAACACCCAGCCTTTCATCTCTAGGTTACCAGTTCCCATTCAAGTTGGTAGGGACTGAGTCATGATCATCTCTTCAGTGGCCTGGGAAATGAATAAATGGGTATCCACATCACACAACCCACTACTGTGAGTGAGCACTTGGGCTTGGAAAAACCTGCTTGTTGAGGGTGAGTAGGAATTCTGGCTGAGTGAGACTAGGGAGAAGCAGAGGGCCCATGTACAATGGAAGAACTGGGAGACTGAGCCCTATGTGCCCTGGAGAGCAGCAGTCTTCTCCCTACTATCCCTAGAGAGCAGACTGGGAAGAGGAGCCCTGCAAGGAGGGTGGGATAGGTGATGTGTATGTGCAGATGGAATAGCAGCACATGTATCTTTCACCAGGTCTAGTAGGTTTTGGGGCAAGTTTTTCAAGCCCTGATGAACCCTTTTGTTAACTGTCTAAGCAGAGACACTGGGCATAGGGTGCGCTATGAGCCTAAACTCAGCTCTCCAGGGTTGGTTTGATGGTGGGGATGAACTGCTCTTGGCTGTATCCGATCTGCACTGTGGGTACACAGAGCAGTCAATCTCCAGGGCTTTTCCCAACACTTTATTTGGATTTGTTCTAGGAATGAATTAACATACGGGTAGCAAGTGATGCCCACTTAGATCAGTAACATTGCGGTGAGTTTCCAAGATGACACACAACCAGCAGGATGATGGGTGACAAAGCAAAGAGCTGTTAAAGGCTGTTATCAGGACTTCAAGCGCAGTGCAGCCCAACTGCCAGTTATTACAGAAAGGACATGGATCTGCAGTCTGTGGCCAGTCAGTGAGGAGTTGTTTTGCAAATCCTTGTGTTTAAGCTCTAAATCTATTTTGAAGTCTTTCCCAATCCGTAAGTGTAAGACCTCTTGTTAACCCTGCAGAATCTATCCAGCTGTCTAACAACGGAGCGTATAGCAGCTGGATGCTGTGGTGTTGGCATCACTTGACTTGTAGAAGGAATACATAACAAACACTAAACAGTGACGCTGTAAAAATGCACTGGGCGGATTCCAGGCATAGTGGTACTTTAGGCTGCATACAGTACTTATGCCGCTCAGAAATGCTGGTTTGAAAGTTGTGAAATCACTGATCATTCTAGTAAATGTTGCAGATTGAAGTGAGCCTTACAGCAAGGGGGAGAGGAGTGGGAGATGAACTTTGGGCTTAAAATAATACATTCAGAGCATAGTTTGCTGTACTTAGTGGTGTTAAAATCAGGGTGGAAATAGTTCCATAATAAGCACCTGGGGCCCTGTATTGCCAGTGTCACAATGTTGTTAGTAATAAGGCTTGTTCATACTGGTATGTCTTGCTGAAGTAAAAAAACAAGCAAACTGCTATTTACTATAGCTGGCCATGAATTCATAGTGGTGGTGGGGGGGGGGAATTAAGGTGCATCGGACCACGTGAATTTTGAGGCTCCTGCACTGGGTTTTCTGTTAATTGGAAGCAATGGGAGAGGGGAGCTGAAAAGGGGAGTCCGCTACTCACTGGGTTAGGTCTGTTCCTGCTCTGTAGAGAATGAACTGTTGATTGTCTTCTTATTGGGCAGGTAAACGGGCAAGATGAACTTTTCCAAGCTATCCAAAATCCGAGATGAAGATAGGGAGAGCGTGTTTGGCTACGTCCATGGAGTCTCAGGACCCGGTAGGTGCTGTTCGGTTGGGGAAGGCGTGGGTTCAACATTGTATTATGAAAACTGTTTCATGGATCTTTGTCCTCTTGGAGGAAGCACAGTGAAGCTTTTCCAAGTGGTTAATTGTTTCCCCCCCCCCCTCACACATACTCTACCTAGCACAAAGCCCTCAAAGAGCTGTCTGCTGCTTTACATGCATGTACGAAATTGAGTCTCACCAGCATGGGAAATGTCAGTAAGGTGTTACTATGTATTAGTTTTATTTATTATAAATCAACCACTGTGAATGCGTGTCTTCCTGTGTGTCAAACCCTGTGTATTAGAGGGCACTGTATTGAAGAAAGCAGGACAACTTTAGGAATCTCTTCAACATAAGTCACATTTCATTCATAAGCCAATGTATTAAATTATTGTAGTTAGTTTCTGGTCATTTAGGATAGTGAGGTAGATTAGGGCCAAAATATAATCCACTTTAAAATAGTTCTAATCAGGTGGCAAAGGCTCTATCAACTTCAAAGATCTGTTTAAAAATCATCTGTCACTTTCCTGCAAAATCAAACCTATCAAATACAAATAGTAACAATAAAATGGCACAGTCCCTGCCCCAGCACACTCCATAAGTTAAATGGACAATATACCAGATGGTCTGATGTCAAAATAGTGAGAGTGTCGTGTCTTTTTTTACTTTTCCCAGAGGTGAATGTGCTCATGATGCGCTTTGGGGAAGGAGTGTCTTTTTAGCAGGGATTTGGGAGGATTGTCATTTAGAATCTTAAACCTTCTTAGTCTCGTGCTGAGTACAGGGCATATCCTGGATATGAATTACAGCTGTCTATAGATTACTAAGGTCTAATGGCGGCTGGCCATAGGACCCAGGGAACAGGGGTAATAAGCACAGGACATTTTTGTTTTGGCTCATAGGTTCTGCAGCTGTCCCTCCAGGACCCGCTTACTACTTACATGGACTGATTGGGTACCAGACCTCTGCTTTCCAGCACTCTACATTCTTTGCTGGGTTAGCAGACTTCTTCAGACAAGATGTGAAATAGTTTCACCCAGGTGTTTTTCTTTTTCAGTGGTCACTGCTTGCAACATGGCAGGTGCAGCTATGTACGAGTTGGTACGAGTTGGCCACTGTGAGCTGGTGGGAGAAATTATCCGGCTGGAGGGTGATATGGCTACTATCCAGGTGTATGAAGAAACCTGTATCCTTCTCATTGGTGTCTTTGAGGCCTGTCAAACTAAGTAATCCTAACAGGTAGGATGATGAGTAGAGTAGAGCAAATAAACAAACCTCAGTGGGACTAGATTGCAGTGGTCATAGGCAGAAGCCATCTCTGTTCCTTATCCCTTACACAGGTTTTGATGGAGCGTGTGTAAAAAGTGCATGATTACATTGTTATAATTGCACAACCCTGGTAATGAGACAGTCTTCAAAGTACACCGCTGCTTCTATAAGACTTGCATAATATATCCTGTATCTGTTGTTACAGTTGAAGGCAACTGCACCTGTATTCACCCTCTGGCCCAAGAAGGGCACCCACTCTAGGCTCCTGGTTCCTCAGCCATCATTTTTCTTGGACAGAGACCTGTGTTTCACTCTGGTCAGAAGGGAGTATTTCCAGGCTGCACAGTTCCCTGCCTACACTGTGATATTCCCAGCAATCCAGGCTGCCTATACAGGCCAGTGTTTGGGCTTTGCTTCCTTTCCAGAGGCTATGAACAGAGAAATGGCCAGCAGTTACAAGTTACCACACAGCTCTATATAAACCAGCACCTTTATTCTAAAAGTAAAAGCAATACCAGAGAAAACATATTAAAAACAATAAAAGCATCTATACACATGCTAAAAAGCTCACCAGGGTCACCCCAACTCCAGCCTCGGGCTTTAGTAGGAGTCCGTCTTTCAAAACACAAACTTGTAATGATGGGGAAAGTCCAGTTGTGGAACTGTCTCAGACAGAACCAGAACGCAGACTGGACAGATCAGTCTGTTTCTTTTATAGCTCAGGCCTTTGATCACCAACTCCCGGAACAGGTAATCAGCAGAATGTCATCCTCTCCTCAGATGTACCGTCAAAAGGCTGGGATTTGGCATGACTGGAGGTGGGGAATTTGCATAAACCTCTCTGTAGATATTTCCCCGGAAACCTACTTGGGGTCCCACGTTCATTCCTGCCTTTCTCAGTATAGTCCTTTGAACTCCCACACATCACATCACATCACATCCCCCCGCTAGAGAGGTTATGTACAAGCCCAATAAGGTTTTTCGAGGATATTGAAGGAAATTTCCATCATTCTCCCGTCTCCTTAAACCTCAATCCTGATTTAATGTCTAACTTCAGTTACACTTGAACTTGGTAACTGGACTGTATTTGTTCATGGCAAATACAAACGACAAACACCAGAGCTACCAAGCAAATTCAGTTTTTGGTGGTGGTTTTTGCTTGGGTTTCAAAAAGTGTGTACTATTAAAATATCCTAATACAGCTTTAAAATTGGGAAGGATTCATCCTTTGGGTGGATTGATTTCTCTGCTAAACATAAGCATATTGCACATGTATCCTTGGGAAATCCATACTGTTGATCCAAACTTGCTTGCTACAAAAATGTACCATCCAGTTTTGCTAATAGATAATGATGTTGAAGGAGGGAGAACATCAGGGAGGGAGCCATTAAACTTGGAGTTGGCTACATCATCTCCATCTCTGTGCAAAAGTATTATGTGGGTCATGAAGTCTCGCTGAAGTTCTATTTTGAGGGCTTAAATGGAGAATAGACTTCTTGCCTACTGACTCCACGGGTTAATTTCACACGGGAAGAGCCCTTATATAGCCCTCATCACCAGGGTATGTGAGCACCTTCCTATAGCACATTAAATGGCAACTGTCACCTGTGACTCATTCTCTTACCCTCCACAGGAGGCGTAAGTCACATGAGGCTCTTTAGAGATGAACTAGCTTTTATCTGTCCTCTTTGGATCTCTAAATATGGTTGTGGGTTTCCAGTAAACTTTTCCATTTTGTGGCTCAGGACTAGTGATCATAAGGGAAAATATTTAGTGTCTCCTCTCTGGAGAGTGAAAACATCAATCTTAATTATTCCAGCCTGAGGTATGAGAATAGAGGCTGAATGCTTATCTCCTTTGCGATACATTGCATTGCACAATCTGAGCAGTTGAATTGGTGAGATAAAATGTCTTTTGGTAAATGCGTGGATGAGCTTTTCCTGAACCGACCTCTTTAGCTGGTGTCTCTGTAGGAGATCCTGTACTCCGTACTGGCAAACCCCTCTCAGTGGAACTTGGCCCTGGCATTATGGGGGCCATTTTTGATGGTATCCAGAGGCCTCTGACAGACATCAGCACTCAGACCCAAAGTATCTACATCCCCAGAGGTGTCAACGTGTCAGCTCTGAGCAAAGACCTCAAATGGGACTTTTCACCTTCCAAAAACCTGCGGGTAGGCTATGACAAAGCTGCCAAAAAATCCCCCAGGCACATTGCAGTGTGGGGGAAGAATGTGCAGAATGATGAATTGTGAGTCACATTTTCAGATGCATGGTGTCTGTGAAACAGAAGTCCAGTGAGCTTGAGGGTGGGCATACTGGTGGATTAAGGCAAAGTGGCTATGAAAGAGCAGGCAATGAATGCCTGTACCACTAATGTGATGCTAGGTGGCACAGTTGGTAAATACAGTGGTACCTATTAAACTGGATGTCTCTACAGTACAATAAAGATAATTAATGGGAACACGCTGGGCATAGCAAATAGGATAGCTATAGCTCTCTAACACATCCGTTTTCTGGGAGAGGGTGGTATACCTCTGGCCAAGTTATTTTGGCGCATTCCATCTTTGCTGTACTCAACAAGTTAGTCTGGCTGATGGGTAGAAAGGAGGCCAGGGAATCTCCACTACTTGTCCGTAATCACACAGCTGTCTGAGCCTTGCAAGCCTCATTGCATATAATGGTTGCAGTTCTTGTATAGGCTGATAGCACATTTCTAGCAGGGCTGTCACAGTGCTAGTAAAAGATGCAAACAGGCTATTGGGCTGTTACAGTGCCTTGCATAGAAGACAGTCAGGGTGCTAGATTTAAGGACTGTTTTATAAAGCCTTGTGCTTCTCTCTCTAAACCTGAAGCTTTCATTTGTATGACTAAAGGAATACTTTCTTCTCCTGATCCTAGGTTGGCAGTCACATCACTGGGGGAGATATTTATGGACTGGTGAATGAAAACTCCCTTATCAAACACAAAATCATGTTGCCCCCACGGAACAGGGGGACGGTAACATATATTGCTCCACCAGGGAACTACGACACATCAGTAAGTTTTCCAGATGGTGCTGGCTAGTGCTTTCCACACTCTTGCAGCTGGGTTTTGGAGATGCAGGTCACCTGCTGCCAACTTGCCAACAGTGATCACCCTAATACTTTGTGAAATCAAGCTGCTCCGTATGGTGAAAACTCAGCCTTGCTCATGTGTGGGAGCGGATGCCATTTAAATACACCATGTTTGCCACTCCACTGTGGGTGGTCCTGCAGTGTCCCAAGTACATGCAGAATCAACAATGGCATTTTCATTAGCTACTGTGCGTCACGATTATTTGAAGCTGAGGCTTTATGCTTACACTTGATTTCCTACTCCTTTGGCATTCTGTGCCAAAAAAATAAAAATTCTGTGCACAATATTTTAAAATTCTGCAAATTTTATTTGTCAAATAAATGTGGAAGCCCCAGCATGGCATTGAGGAGCACAGGCCACTGGCTGCACAGATGAGATCACTGTGCCGCACCCCCACCACCACCACCACCACCACCACCTTCCCCAGACACAGGCTCAGCGGTGAGGCTGCAACCAACTCTGACACAGTGCAAGGACTGGGGCAGCCCCAGAAAGACCCCAGTGCCCTGCCCCTCTATGCCAGGTGTGGCAGGCAGGCTCAGCAAGGCAGGATCCAAGTGTGGAGGGGCTTAGTGTGGGGGGGGTCCAGGTGTGGATGGAGAGGGTTCTGTGTGGGGCAATCTGGGTGGCTCAGTGGGGGATCTGGGTGCAGGGGGGATCTTGATGCATGTGGGCTTGTTGGGGGTGGTGGTTCTGGGTGTAACGGGACTCTGACGGTGGGTCCAGGTAAAGGTGATTGGGACTCAGCAGGCGCGGGGGGGGGGAATAGAGCTTGGCAGGGGGATTCGGATGCTGGGGGAGTGGGGCTCAGTGGGGTGGGGATCCAGGTGCAGCTGGTTAGAGCTCAGTGGGGTAGGGATCCGGGTGTGGGTTACTCATTGGGGTGGTGCAGGGGGAGTGGGGCTGGAGGGGGTTCTGGGTGCAGGGGGGGGCTGAGGCTTGGCGGGAGGGTCTGGGTGTGAGGGGGTCTGGATGCATGGGGGTTGGGCAGATGGAGGAGCAGCTCCCTGTACGGTGATCCCTCCCCCTGCAGCCGAGGAGCAATGGGTGCAGGAAGCATGTGGTGAGGGGAATTTGCAGAGCTTCCTACAGCTAGGGGAGAAATCTGGAGGTTGGTATGACATGGCCCTGGATGCCATGCAGGGGAAGAGGAAGTCCTGTCCTGCCAGCTGGGATTGGCAGCTGAGCCCGGCGCAGGGTAGGGGCCACCCCTGTCCCACCCCCTGCCCCACAGTGATTTACTTCTCTGCTGGCTGCCCTGGGAACCCAAAACATACTGCTGGGGAGGGTCACATGATGGCTCTTGTGGCTCCCCTTTGTTTCCCCATCAGAAAGTCATTTTTCTGCTGGGAAACAAAGAAATCTGCGGGGGACATAAATTCTGTGCATGCGCAGTGGCGCAGAATTCCCCAGGTGGGCTTCCCGCAGGCTGGGGTAGTAACTGGGGTGACTGGAAGGCCTATGGCTCTAAAGAATAACTAGTCATTAATGGTGTGCATTGCTGGTGGGATTCTGTATAGACTTGTGAGAATGAGAACTTGCACATTCCCCCAGCATCTAGCTGTCTGCTTACTCCGGGTGTCTGCTGCCTTCTGGTAGGATGTTGTCTTGGAGCTGGAATTTGAAGGTGTGAAGGAGAAGTTCACTATGGTACAGGTCTGGCCTGTACGTCAAATCCGTCCCGTCACTGAAAAATTACCAGCCAACCATCCATTGCTAACTGGCCAACGGGTCCTTGATGCCCTCTTCCCGTAAGTACCACCTGGGGTTCCGTGGGGCTTCGTTCTGATCTTTGAACAAGAATTCCTTTAAGCGGAGTGGAAAATGTATATAAATCTCCTATGCCCCAGAGCAACATCCCAAAAATGGTGATGCAAGTACTTCAGAGGAATCCCTGGCAAAAACAAAATTTCCCTGTGCACCAAAAGGAGGAGGAAAATGTCGTCATAATAAAACAGGCCTAGTAAATGCTATAACTGGGGAATCTCCAGATATAGTCAGAGTTATCACTTATCTTATCACTGAGAAAGCAGCTTGTACAAGGGCCTACATTTTCCAAATTGGAGGCCTAAAGTTAGGCACCTGCAACTCCCAGTGACTTCAGAGGCTTGGCACCTGTGAAAATATACCACTTATTTAGGTCCCTGCATATGGATTTAAGTGCCTAACTTTAGGCATCTATGCTTGACAACATTGGCCTAATGTCTCATGTCACTTCTTCTCTTAGTGATGCTTCTAAGTTGGATGTTCAGCCTGCTCATTCCTCAGACATCTCCATTAGTGAAACATATTTTTGTACTGAACCTGTTCCAGCTGTTGTCCCAGCACTAGCTAGTTACTCTGGGAACAGTGGTAGGTGCTGTTGGTGTAGGGGAGGGACAGCCTGTTCCCTTTGTTCTGGCTTGTTGAAATATCGCATGTACTCATGACATGGGGTAAACCTGATTCCATGTGCCATCTTTGCCGTCTTAGGCAAGTGAAGTGAGAGAGCCTCAGAGGGCTGAGAAGAAAACTTACTCCAATATGCAAACAGGACATTGCTTGTCTTTGTCTGAGTTCAGTATAAACCAGTCTGGCTCTTCTTTCCTCAGGTGTGTACAAGGGGGTACTACTGCTATCCCCGGGGCCTTTGGCTGTGGAAAGACTGTGATCTCGCAGTCTCTCTCCAAGTACTCCAACAGTGATGTTATCATCTATGTAGGCTGTGGAGAACGAGGAAATGAGATGTCTGAAGTACTCAGAGATTTCCCAGAGGTCAGTATGGGATGCAAGGATTCTTTCCAAATGTTCCTGGGAACAGAGGTGTTGCATGTGTCTTGTTGATATGGTGGCTTTGAACCACTGGATACTGTCAGACCCTCAGCTGTTGCGGGCCTCATTTCATGTCCCTCCAGACACCATGTGGCGTGGCAATCTGTTGTGCTATAGTAAGAGCTGTCATTGTCCCATGCAGGGAAGGATGTCCGTTTTGGGAGCTTTCAACACAACATTTGAACTAACATTGGGATAAACATTAGTTTAAAAAATAAATAAATAAATAAAAATAGGCAACATTACATAAATGTTGAGGTTTTAGTTGCACCCATGAAGAAAATCTTTTCAAAAGCTGTTTGAGTTCTGCCCCTTTGTATGTATACACTAGTGTTGAAGTAACTGAGAATGTAGGTGCTCAGCACCTCTGCAAATCAGATCCTAGGGGTGTTATTGCGAGATAATACAGACAATGTGACAATGTGCTCTTCAGTGCTTCTTTATAAGGGGAAAGGGAATCCCTGTCTCTGACTGCGGTTGCCTAATGGTGGGTCTCATTGCCTGGGGTGTAATTTATGGAATTGAAAACTCATGTGTGATTTATTTTTAAATCTAAACCCTAATGTAGCACTGACTGACTGTTTTGCACATCAATTTATTAACTTGACTACTGTGGTTCCTTCCTATAGCCCTATGTTTTCAAAGCAATATCTGTGCAGTTCCCTGTCCTTCCCTCTCCACCCCCCAAAAAAATCCACCTTAGTTGTCGTTGGGAGAGTTGAGTCGTCCCTTTACGGGGATGCAATAGTAGGGGGGACAGATGTGCCTCCTGGGAGAGCTAGCTTCTTTTAGAAATTTACAGAGCACAGTGCACAAACATGTAAATAGATTATTTTCTGACCTCACGGGGAGGCTGAGGAAGACTGTAATTAAATTCACAAAGACAATATGCTCCGCATTTCCCTCACAAGTTTACTGAACAGTAACACTGCTAATACTAAAATAAGCCAACAAAATGGCAAACATAAGAACCAGAGAGCATTAATATAGCAATACTGCTCATCTAGCATATTTACCGGACATGGTCTGAGCACAGGAGTGCGGCTGTGAGTTCTAATCCCACCTCCTGCTCTAGAAAGTCATTTACCTTTTCTGCCTCCGTTTCCCTATCTACATATTGTCCACAAAGGTTCCAAAGTACAATTGTTTATACACCATTTTGAAGGTGAAAGCATTTATATCTGTTCTAAGTGGTATTGATCCAATTATCTGAACAAGCTTTACCTCTAGTAAATCTGTCCTCACCCTTTCACCGGTGGGCAAACCGAGGCGTGTAAATTAAGGAATTTACCCAAAGTCACTTGGGGTTTCGGTAACAGAACAGCATATAGAACTCACGAGCCCAAAGTCCAATCCCCTGCTCTCATTGTTAGACCACTTGTGAGGGCAAATACTCTTGTACTGGGTCTTTTTCTGGCACAGGAGTGGGGGGGATAATCACTGTAGGGTTATACAGATTCATGTGCTGCTTTTTTGCCTTTTTAGCTCACGATGGAAGTTGATGGCAAGGTAGAAAGTATTATGAAGAGAACAGCTTTAGTAGCAAATACCTCCAACATGCCCGTCGCTGCCAGAGAAGCCTCTATTTATACCGGTAAGAGTTACAAGAGAAGTAAAAGCTACCCGGGATAGGTGTCATCTTGCCCTCTGGTATATCCAGATTCCAATGTATTCTCTGCTCACTAACTTTGCTTAGTTTCAGAAACTGATCTTTCTAAACCTTACTTACCCAATAGGTTTTGTGTAGTAGTTTGATCTTCTCTTAGACATAGGCTGCCAAGGAATTGCATTTGCCATTTTAATCCTTGCTACTAGTGTGGATTTTTTGTCAGCTCTGATCCTGTAGTTGTTTGGTATCAACTCTGTAAAGCTTAGCTCATTCTGGAGAGAGTATGGTTTCTTGACTGTGGAGAATACAGCTATGCACCTTTTTATCTCTTTACATTCCTCCATAAATTGGTGGGATGAGGGTTATGCCCTTCATCTTAAAATACAAGCTGTTTACTGAATGCTAACAAATAATTGAGACAAAACCTGACCTCCCTTAAAGTTATTGTAGTCTGCCAGTTTGGAAACCAAAGGATGCATCCTATTAGCTTTAAATCCCCTTCTCTGCTGTAAAGGACTGTTTTAAAGCCACACTTTGGGAATAGCCTCCCTGTCTGTTACACCGCCTCGGAGGCAACCTTTCAAAAGAAGCACAAGTTAACTAATGGCATAGCTCTTGAATCTCATGGACCAGAAGAACAAAAATGGGGGCACAGTCCACGTGGCTCACCAAGGGGGAGCAAATCTGTGTTCAGAGAATAGGAGCAGAGAGGGAGAAGGTACCAAAGCAGTGAGGAAACTCTTGGGAATCCAAAAGGAATAACTTTCAGCCTCCCTTGTCATCAAAATCTAAATGAGTATTTCAGTGTCACCTGAAAAGGCTTCTTGCCCTTCTAGGAAAGGTGTATGAGCCAGAGTACTTGTCTGAACTGTAACCTGCAGTGTGCTCTTCTCTTTGTTCTAGGAATCACCCTGTCTGAGTATTTCCGGGACATGGGCTACAATGTCAGTATGATGGCTGACTCCACTTCCCGATGGGCTGAGGCCCTTAGGGAAATTTCAGGGCGTTTAGCTGAAATGCCAGCTGGTGAGTAGACTTTGTTCTTGGTGTTCAGCCACAGGAAGCCTTCCTGTAGATGCTGAGCCTTCGCATGATGTAGTTTCTCTGTGATGCTTGCAGACAGTGGCTATCCAGCCTACCTCGGTGCCCGTCTGGCCTCGTTCTATGAGCGAGCTGGCAGAGTGAAGTGTCTGGGGAACCCCGAGCGAGAAGGGAGTGTCAGCATCGTCGGGGCGTAAGTACTGAACCTTTCAGCATTCCCTGGATTGCAGCTCTTCTCGGGGGTGGGTGATGGGAGCAGTGGCTTGGTGCTTCCCAGACAGGCAAGCAGAAATGGCCCCTGCCCTGAGGAACTCCCAGTTTAAGGACAGAGTGACAGGAAGCAGAGTTTGGGCAGGGAGGGAATAACATGCCTGTCAACAATATTCAAGAGGGATTGAAATGTGGAGAGGATAAGAGGCCTGTGGGTGAGCTCAAGGAGACTGTACCATGCTCAAGGGGCAGCACGGATGGAAGATGGTATGTAGATGATTATGTGAGAAGCTGGCACATGAGTGATTGAGAGTGGGAACACAGGCAGAGCAGAGAAGCCAGTGTGGGTTGGACAGGAACTCATTGTGATGTGAGAGACGATTGCATAAGTAGGGAGGGGCAGAGTTATGGAGAGCTTTGATAGTGGTGACACACTGCTTGAAAATCCCTCCACAGACTCTCTACCACTATGGCATCAAGCTGAGGGAGGGGAGTGACCTGATCAGCTTCCCTGCCTGTCATTCTGATGCTCTCTGCAGCAGAGAGGTTGAGCAGGATGAAAGTATAGGCTCTTGAGACTTGGACAGGAAGAGATGCTGGAGACCTTTGAGAGCAGTTTCTGTAGAGTGAGGCAACAGTTGTAGCCAGTTCGCTGGTGAAAGGGAGGAGGGAGATGGGCTGACAGCTGTTTCAATGTGGCATTAGGAAGGTAACTTGCCCTAGACTTGCAGGAATGTCTCTGATTTTCTTCTGTGCTCAATGTCCTAATAACTTAGACATCTGTATACCTGTCTGAGGAGCTGGAAACCTTTAAATTTAAAAGCAACTTCACTTGCTTATCTGAAAGTGGTAGATGGTTCTACTGGTTTCTAGTGTCCAATCTCTGGGAGGTCTTACAGAAATTAAAATTTTCATTAGTCCTCCATAAGGCTACGTTTTAGTCAGGTATTTTTAGTAAAAGTTATGGACAGGTCCCAGGCAGTAAACAAAAATTCATGGTCCGTGACCTGTCCATGACTTTGTAACTAAAAATACCCGTGAATAAAACTTGGGGGGCGGCCCAGATGCTTGGGGGTGGGTGATGGCGTGCAGCCTGGGACCTCCACTGTTGCTGGGGGAGGGAGGGTTTGGCGGGGCCAGCAGGCTCGGTACCTAGCCTCTCCCTCCCTCTTTTCTCTCCCCCCCCCCCCTCCCCCCAACGCAGCAGCAGCAGAGTTTGGGTGCAGCACTTACCTGGGGGTAGGGTGACCAGATCACACAGGGGAAATGTCAGGATGCGGGGGGGGGGCAAAAAAAAGGCCGCTGGAGCTCCACTCCCCTCGTTCTCTCCTCCCAGGCCCCGCTGGGCGCGGGCAGTAGGGCTGCAGCTTGTCCCTGGCCAGCTCCGTCGCACTCGCTATCCCATGGTCCCGGGCCCTGGCGAGCCTGGAGTCCCGGCGAGTAGCCTCCCGGCGCCGCAGCCTAGTCCCAGCTGCCCATCGTGCCAGGCCAGCCCAGGCTCTGGCGGCGACTCTGCGTCCGAACCGCACTCGCAGGCGTTCCAGGAAGGGGAGGGGACGCTGCGAAGCCAAGCGGGCCTCTTAAAGGGAGAGCACTGCTTGTCTGAGGGGGAGGCTCATCTCCACAACGGTCAGTCCCCGCAGGAGCGGGGTGGGCTCCCCCCGCACCAGCTTATCATGTTGCCAACTTGAGTCTTTCAAGGTGCCAGCAATAAGCGGGTGACTTGGAGAGCCCTGCAGCAGCTGGGTCCACACTGCGAATGGGACAAACCCTCTCCCACATAACCGCTCTCGTCCGCTGACGGACACAGATCTTCACTTCGTGTCTCTCTCGCTGACTCCACACACAGAAGGGGGAAGAGGCAGAGGCTGTGAGAACAGCTGTTACCTGGCTGGAGAGCAGAGCACGGTGTCCCCAGCCCACCAGGTAACCAGAGGGCGGGGAGTTTAACACCTCTGCGCCTTGCAGCACCTCCCGCAGCGGCAGCTGAGCCCTGCGAGACAGAGTAGCTGGCTCACGCTGCCCTGCGGATTGGGGCGCCGCTCAGCCTGCCTGACCCCAGCGCTGCCTGCAGCCGAGTGGCAAGCTTGCCTCCGCTCTGTCTCTTCCGCGGAGTCTGGGCGGGGGGGGCATGAGCCCCCTCCGGGCTCCGCCTGTGCCGGACGTCCCGACTGAAGGTAGGTCGGGACGCGGGACAAATCAGCAAATATTGGGACAGTCCCGATAAAATCGGGACGTCTGGTCACCCTACCTGGGGGGCTCCCCAGAAGTGGCGACATCCCTCTCGCTCAACTGCTAGGCAGAGGTGTGGCCAGACAGCTCTGAGCACTGCCTCCGCCTGCAGGCACCGCCCCCACAGCTCCCATTGGCCGTGGTTCCTGGCCAATGGCCACGCCTCCGCCTAGCAGCTGAGCAAGGGGGATGTTGCTGCTTGTGGGGGAACCCCCCCAGGTAAGCACTACCCAGAGCCCACCTCTCCCCATCCCATGCCCCAACCCCTTGCCCCCTCCCACACCCAAACTCTGCTGCTGGAAGTACAGGGGGCACGGTGGCCCGAGACTGCCCCAGCAGCAGCCGGTGCAACTGGCGCAGGAACTTTCCCTGAGCCAGGAGCACCAGCCACTGCAGAAGTCACGGAAAGTCATGGAATCCGTGACCTCTATGACAAACTCTCAGCCTTAATCATCCATCTGTGTAATGACTTGGTGCTACAATTTATAGAAGTGATATTGACCACTACAAGAATAGACCTCTTATTCTGTGTCAAACTGCCTCCCCCCAAACACTTTAAATTTCTGGACCCCAGGCTGTCTTGAGAGAATCCTCTCTTTTCCCTTCCAACACCTTATCCTCAGCAATGAGCCCTGGGTCATAGCCTTGAGTCATGAGGCTGGGGTCAGATGTCAATTGGATCATCTCGACAAATAACTAGATCCTGTAACTATATTGTATGGCCTAGGGTTTGGAAATGGATGGATGGATATCGATACGTGGCAGGGCAATGTTACCTGCAGTGGAAAGTTATAATTGGTCCCAAATGTGGACTTTGTGCTCAGGAAAGGTGTTGTTTCTCCTCAGATTTAGTTTTTGAATTCTAAACACACTGTTGGGATCAGAGTTCAGAATCCTGCTGTCCTGCTGTCTGCTTTGAAACCTTGACTCTTGATTGATTAATACTATTTTGTACCAAGAATTGGGAAGGCCTGATGCTGCTAATGCTGGATCAGGAAAATGTGACTGTTCACCAAGAGTAAAACCAGTCAGGATCCTTCCTCTTTCTGCATCCTCTGACTTTGGTTTCAAATGAGTGTGGCATTTTGTTGAAAGGAAGACGTGGAGGCTGGCAAATCTGGCTGCTACTGGTATTGAGTTGTGGTGCTGGGTTTGGAGCTTCAGCTTAGCCCTGCACCAGTGCTGCTGATCACTGCTTTCCTTTCTCTCTCTTCCTGCTCAGTGTATCTCCCCCTGGTGGTGACTTCTCAGATCCTGTCACGTCTGCCACTCTGGGCATTGTTCAGGTACGTGCCACCTTACTGCAGTCTGTGTTGAAGCTGTATTCTCCTAGTTACTCCACTAGGGTTTGAAATGAATGCACTGCATCAGAAGTGCTTGCATGTACAGTGACAGCCATTGTGCCCTAATGGCCATGGTGTGAATGGTTTGCAGAAAGGGGGGTTTTTAAGGGTGTTTTGAAATGTTCTGGCAGTATCAAGGCCTGCCTCTGTGTAAGATGTTCTCTCAGACCTGATGCAGCCAGGATTCATCAGGAAGTGGGGAGGAAGGGCAGCCACCCCATCCCCGTGTCATGTCCTCCAACACACACTATTGGCTGATTCCCCAGGAGTATTCATATCCCTCAAACAGAGGGCAAATGCAAGGATGGCAGCCTTGGACTAAGATGGAGAGAGAGGAGGCTGCATCCCTAAATGAAGGAGCATAGAGACTTGGACTGTTTTCTAGAGGGGTGAACCTACAGCACAGCTGTGTTTTGGGAAGAGAGGTTGATTTTAAGTATTGGCAGTTAGTAGGGCCCCACTTAATTCTGCAGGCAACAGGGCTGGAATCTGTCCTGTGCAAGACCATCCCTCCAGCCTGACATTAGGGTAAGTATTCAAGACCATCTGTTTGGAGCTGGGATCCACCATCATGAAATGATCAACTCAGTGCATGCTAGACATTCTAGTGGGGGAGGATCTTAGTATCTAAGGGCCTCCAGTTAGTGTGGGGAGGAAAGATTCTCTTTCAAGCCTGTCTGGAGGATCTGGATGGTCTTTGCTGTATTCATTATACAGAAATGTGTGGGAGATTGACCATCTTCAGTTAATAACTTGGCTTCTGCTGGGAAGGAAACTTATGAATCTGTTTGGATTTGGCAGGTGTTTTGGGGCTTGGATAAGAAGCTGGCTCAGCGCAAGCACTTCCCGTCTGTCAACTGGCTGATCAGCTACAGCAAGTACACACGGGCCCTGGATGAGTATTATGACAAGCACTTCACAGAGTTTGTCCCTCTGAGGACAAAGGCCAAGGAGATCCTGCAGGAAGAGGAGGACCTGGCGGAGATTGTGCAGCTTGTGGGGAAGGTGAGCAATGATCACTCGGAGTGGGGAGGAGTATGGTGTCTTAGCGAGGCTTTCCAAAGAACTGGTCTGCCTCCACTTCACTGCTCCTGGCATAGACTGTAGACACTATCCATGGGGAGATGGGGCTACTGTTAGCCAGAGTATGTGTGCAGGCACTGAGAGCTGGAGGGAAGGTAATAAGAGTTTAAGAACATAAGAATGGCCATACTGGGTCAGACCAATGGTCAGTCTAGCCCAGTATCCTGTCTTCTGACAGTGGCTGTTGCCAGATGCTTCAGACAGAAGTGTTTCTGAAAAACAGTAGATTTGTCTGCCACTAGCTGTACTTAATTCAGTCTTTTCTACTGCTCTGGCGCTGGAACCAAAAAGCAGCCCTCGGAATAGTCTAGAAATAGGAGAAATCCCCACGCCAGCAGCCCGTGAGTACACTTGCAAAACAACTCTGCAGCCAACTGCAGTGCACTTCTTAAGGAAACTGCTCTGGATGCAGTGATCCTTACCTGATATTTGTTTCCCCTATCTTTGAACTAGACCTGCAGGCTGAGTCTCTAATTTAATAAACATGTTGGAAAGTTTCACGGTCACTTCTTTCAGTGCCCCTGTCCTCTGGTGACATGCCAGTTCACAGCCATGCAGCAGTACAGTATCCTGAGGCCCCTTCTCCTGCAGCACCCTGACAAGGCTATTTTCAAAGCACTGTACTGACACGCCAAAATCTGTGCTCAAAGTATAGGCCTGAAGAGTGGGTTGCATTTAAATTTTGTCCCGTTAGAGTTTAACACACAACAGTGGCACGACGATACAAAGAATTAGATGAGTGTTGTCTATTCTCTACAAAGTGGCTGTGTAGTCATCATGCCTAGTGTTGGAGACCTATTAGCTGGTGTGTGCAGTGACCTCCCATTCTACAGGCTTCTTTCAGTTTCTCAGTGCACCTCAGCATTTCGGGGTAGAAAGCTAAACCTAGCCAGAGAAACTGCTCTTGAGGAAAGGTGTCATCAGGGTCCCAGTGAAAACTGACTTTGTTTCAACTGATATAGATGCTATAAAAACTGTAGCTCACATGTGCATAGTACACATGAGCCAAGCCAGCCTACATGTATTAACTTTCATTGGAAGAAATTGGGGGAGGAAAGCAATGGACAGGAAGAAGGGCTCCAGCAGCTACAGAAGGGGCCACTTGCACCAGAAGGTGCCTGTCCACCAGAGCTCTAAGCTCTGCTTCTGTGTGTCCTGGAAAAGAGGAAAGTGTGCGTGTAAGGAGGGGGGGGTTGCCTTTTTATGATGTATGTAGTCTTCAGTTACAAGATCACAGTTCAGGTTGTGCTTGGTGGGTGAGGCAAGTCAGCACTCACAACGAGATAAGAATAAAATTATTTTTTTGTTAAAATGGAAGCAGTTTAACATGTTATGGGTGCAGCCTTGCTCTTTGCTGTGGTTATAACAGGTTATTTTGGAAAGAAGTATCATACCCCTGCTTCATTCACTAAGCACCATTCAACCTGCCTATTGAATAAGGCTGAGGTCCTGTGAAAATAGCCCATGATCATGGAATAAGATGCTATAGTGCACCTGCACAAGGGGTAATTTAGGTCATATGTTTGTCTTCAGCTTTGGCATTTCTCATTTCTTTGAGTGCTTAAACATGCTACTTGGGCACTATTTTAATTATCTTTTATATTGTAACTTTCTGTGGTGCCTCTCACATGGCTCTCTGAAAGCACTTCCCAAACATTCAAGCCTCAGTCACCCCCCTTTGAGAGGATAAAATTGAGGCAAAGATGAAGTGACCAACAGTGCAAGATAATCGCTCAGGAGGAGGGGGATAGATGGCTCTGCACAGCATGCTATTAAGAATTTTCTTATCACTGACTTCATTTGGCACACTGGGGGAAAGCAACTACTGGCTTCAGGGATTAGCTGCAGCCTCTTAGCAGCAGACTTTTTTATTTTTGATGGTCTGGTCTGAAATAGCATCGTTTATCTGAAATACCCTCAGATGCATTGTTGGAGTCTGGTTTTCCTTGTGTGGACATGCTAGAGCCGGGAAGGGAAAGCAGAAGTGCTGGCTCCCTGATCAGCTGCAAGCTGACATCACAGCTACAGCTGCCTCTTAGCAAGCATTGTCTAGTGCGTGCTGCTCTGCAGGCAAGCAATTAACATCTTGAAGGAATCTCTCACTTAACTCATTACTTAGCATCTGCAGGAATCCCAACCTAGGTTGGAAACTTAATAGTTGTGTTTAATGCTGCTTGTAAACTACTGGTGGCTGATTGAATAATTGGCTTTGTATCAGTGAATGGGAAATACGCAAAAAAATAATTTTGTATTTATAGTGATCTGAAAAGAGCGGGAGGCAAGCCACATGCCTGTAGATGAAGGTGATGGTGTAAACAAGTAACTGGCATTATGGGCCTTAGCAGAGTTAGGGAGCCAACACCCAGCGCTCCCATACACAGAACTTGGCACCAAACTAAATTTGGACTTTGCCTTCTAGGCTTCCTTGGCAGAAACAGATAAAATTACCCTGGAGGTTGCCAAACTGATCAAAGATGACTTCCTGCAGCAGAATGGCTACAGCCCTTATGACAGGTGAGGGCCAAGAGCTGTGTGCTCCCCGTTCATTCTTCCGTGTATTATGTTCAGATGGAAATCCTATTTGGGAATAGGATCCAGTTTGTGGCAACCAGGACCTGTTTTCAAGGTGATCTGAGAGCCTGCTCATAGGAAAATGCAGCCTGTGGTGGTCCATCGGGCCATTGGCTCCATGTTGTCAGAGAGGCACAGTATGCAGACCCCTTCTGGCCCCTTGGTAGGGTCTTGGCTATATTGATACAGTTTCCCCAGCAGTCTGTCCATTGAAATGAGCACTGCTAATAAACCAGTGCTACGAACGAGCCCCTTGCCTGAATAAACTAACTCCCTCTGGAGAGGGAGAAGAGGATCATTTAGTCTGAACTGATATTTCTCTCTCCCCCTCGCCCTCCCCCCCCCCCCCAATCAGAATCTTTCTTTGTTCCAATAGGCCCCAGTGATACTCAGGAGTGTCTCAAGAATCTGGTTCAAGCTACTTATTCTCCACTATCACTGCACAACTCTAGCCCATCTACAACTCTTAACTTCCTCTTACAGCCCTTACTCAGCCTGGTGCTCCACTCAATCTTCCCTCTCAATGCCTCCTCTTATCTACTTTGTACCCTGTTTCCATGCTATCTCTTGTGTCTGGAATAGCCTTCCATGGAGTTCTTCAGCCTTCCCTCCCCTCCCCAAACTCCAGACCTACCTGTGCTGTGAAGCATTCCCCCTCCAATGGCAACTTGCTTGTGGTGCTCTGTTGTAGCTGCTTGTGCCTTTAGACCAAGTTTTGGGAAGGGATTATGTTTGCTACGTTCACCTGTCGTATAGTACAACAATGCACTGCATAAATAACATGGCATTTCTGTGGTATCTGTCAAGACCACCACTTGCTTTGCCGGTCTCTGTTTTGAGTGGAGTGCTGGTGCCATAGCACTCCCTGTGCCGCCAAGCCATGCTAGGAAACACACTGGAGCTGCCATCATTCCTCCAAACAGATGGGAGGTGGGAAGGGAAACACTCAGAAATGCACTGTATCCAAATGGAGTCAGCCACAATAATGGAGATGATGTGACTTGCTGCTGTGGTGACAATGTGTCACTACAGCTTGGAATTGTAATGCAAGGATCACACCATCATGCTAAGCCACTATTTTAAGATTTCAACTCTGCTCGTGGCTGAAGTTGAAGATCCGTTGCCACTGGGTCATACTTTTGAAAAAAATTTCGGCCTGCAATAGGCAGTTTATGCCACTTGGCAGTGAGTGTATCCAGGGCTTTGTGTTGTAGCTTTATGGGATGAAATAGGCCAGCACTCTTATTTCCATCCACCAAGAGAATCCAGCCTCCATGAGAGGGTTATGTTCGTCATGAAGACACCAGAGCTCTCACTTCATTAAAGATATTCTCAACTGCTCTACAGCCTGGGAAAGTCATTAGTTGTTCATACTAGGTTCTGTCTTGTTTCCATCAGGTTCTGCCCTTTTTATAAGACAGTGGGGATGCTTTCCAACATGATTGCATTCTACGACATGGCGCGCCGAGCTGTAGAGACCACAGCCCAGAGTGACAATAAGATCACATGGTCCATCATCCGAGAAAATATGTCTGAAATCCTTCAGAGACTCGTTTCCATGAAATTCAAGGTATGTCTGTGGGCAGCAGGGCATTGGCTCCCTGGCTTCTCTGTACGGCCACCTGCTGCACTGGAATAGGGATATTGACACTGCTTTGCTAAGGAGACAAAAAGTCCTATGGAAGCCTTCAGTGCATCTACAAAGCCGTTATCCTGGGTTGCCTGTAAACATTTTTCTTATATGAGGAGAAATGGTTCCAGAAACTGAGACACTTGCTCTACTTTTTTTGGTTGATGTAAAATGCCTCTCTGTTTATGACTCTAAACCTAAGCTGTAATCAAATACATGGCCCTGGTTCTTTCAGCTGAGAACTGCCTTAGTGGATGAGCACAGAGAAAGCAGCTATGTTAATGGGGTCACACCTAACCAAATGGCCTTGGGCACTGCTAGGTGGCTTAGGTCCAAAATTAGATAGTATTGTATTTTAAGTCTCTGACAAGAAATGTGTTTAAAAACATTAAAAACAGACTCATTAAAAACACATTTTTCAAGTAAACATTCAATAAATGATGGGCATTGTCCATACAACACACATCTAATGGGGAATGGAAAAGCAGCACCCATGAAAATAAAAGTACATTATGAAAAGGAATCTGGTTCAAGAGAGGCACGAACTGTTCTATTAGCATTTACATGGCCCACATCCCACAGTTTGACATGAGCTTTAAAGAGATGTTGAGGGAATAGATTGAAAAGTATGATCCATCTGTCTAGACACATCTGTGGCCTCCCTCACAATAATACCATTGTCCGATCCTGTCCATTAAATGGCTTCTCTGAAGTAGAGGCCTTATAGCCTGTGTTCAGTAGGAGAGTAGCTGCAAGTTCAGTTTCTCACTACAAATGGAGGGTGGCTGGGGCATTAGAGTTCTCTGGTATAAAGTGAAGGTGTCATGACATGTTCTTGCAGACTTGTACTAGCTCAATTTCAGTGGAAAGGATTTTGTTTGGAATTTGGCCTCTGCGCAGTGAGGAAGATAAATCTTAGTGTGCTTGATTTTTCATGCCACAGTTCCATATGCCATTTGGCTCTAGCTAGAGGGGAGATGGTATTTAATCATTGTAACACTTGTATCACATAGCATCACTGCCAGTATGAGCATTACCTCAATCCTTTTAAACTTAGTTTTCATCTGAGAAGTTTCTACAAACCATAGGTCCAATTTCCTAGATAATGGCTAAGAAAACTCTCCATTATCCTATTAATTGTGTGGTATGTGGGAGAGACATTAACCCAGCTGTCATTTAAAGAGGCTATAAACATCTGCTTTCTCCAGAGTGTAGTGAGCAGATATAAACCCAGAGGTCAGTAAGGAGTTAAGCCAGTGGTAAAGGATTGTCAGACTGTATGAGGGAGCAAATGTTTTTCAAGACTAACTTTTTCACTTGATGTGTTTTCAGGACCCAGTGAAAGACGGCGAGGCGAATATCAAGGCAGACTATGCTCAGCTCTTTGAGGACATGCAGAATGCATTCCGTAGTCTGGAAGACTAGGCTTTGCCCCCATTCCAATGATCCCCTTCAGTTTAAATTTCTCATCTCAGCCCCTCTGCTTCCCTACTGTGCAAGACTGAAATGAGAGAACCTGAGGCCTTGGCTACGCTTGGCAATTCACAGCGCTGCCGCAGCAGCGCTGTGAAGCACGAGTGTAGTCGCGCCGCCAGCGCTGAGAGAGCTCTCTCCGAGGGGAGTAGCTTGCAGCGCTGCGCTCGGGGAGGCGTTTTCACACCCCCGAGCGCAGCAAGTTGCAGCACTGTACAGCCCCAGTGTAGCCAAGGCCTGAGTTTATAACAGTCCTACATGTCCTAGTTCATACTCAGTAAGTCTTTGTAAAACATTCCTCTTAGTTTGTTTGGCCTCACTGTGTGTCTGAAATGGTGGGTGGAGTTAGTGTGAATGGGCCTGAGAGAAAGTGAGGAACTGCAATTGTAAACTTGTAGGGTGGGGGATTCTTCCCTCCCCCCCCCCCCTTTCCACTCCCAAATAGATGTGCTCTCTTAACAGACAGGCTTTTGCTTCTGGGAGAAAGTAAACCAAGTAAGTTGTTGTAGCAGAGGAGGTGAGACTCTTAGTGCAGTGATATGGTACATTCTGAGGTGGTGGTGGTAAGGGCATACAGGCCTAGTTTTAGCCAGTGACTATCAGGCAAAGAATGGGCATTTCCCCTGCTTTGAAATAGGATTTATTCAATTTTTCCAATGAGCTGCTACTACCAATATATAGCATATTCTTTGGTACAGTTTCCCTTCTAAACCTCCAATTGAGCCTGTATTAAAGCAAGTGTATTACAACACAGTAGTTGTGGAACTCTGCAAGGTGTTAACCAAAAGAAACATGTGAAAGCAGCCATGTGTCAGTCTGCATTTGAGAAATAGCATTTATTTTCCTACCTAATATTTAAATAAGACTGTTGGACTACACTTTAATTAAAAAATCAAAGCCATAGCTGCTCAGCTATCGGCAGCAAGAATTTTATCCTCTTGCTTCCCACTCCCAACAGAAAATGGCATGACACTCACCTGCTTCAGTGTAGCTACTTTGTACTACAGGACCAGACAAGATGTGGTGATCCCATTTGTACGGAGCAGGAATCCAGCCTGCCTCAGTGGCACGCTGCATGCCATAACATTTGCCTTCTAGTACAATGTTGAGGTCACCACATGCTTCCAAAACTTTCCCTTCAGATACCTGAATTTGATTTAATTTGTTTGTCCAATTGTGGTATGCAAGAGCCTCTTTAGAGGGGATGTTCAATGCTAATCTTTCTTGTTGGAAGGTTCATTGTGATCCCGAGGAGCTGGTGACTCTTTCTTGCACTGCACTCTGGAGGTGTTTGGTGTCTTCAGAGCCGTCAGAGCTACTGCTTCTTGGACTTGTTTAATAATGTAAGAGCCAATATGTGATGAGGACTAAATACAGAGCAGCCTTTTGTCATTAACCTACTAGAGCCAGAACTTACCATATTGCTTCACAATGGGAGAAATTAATAAGGGAGTTGGCAACCTTTTTGAACGTTTATTTCAGGAGGAATTAAACACTTTTTTGGGGGTGGGGGGCCACACAACATTAATCCCAGACTTATTCCAGCTATCATTTAGCTTTGAATGGCAATGGACCAACTTCTGCTGCTTCCTGTGTTATGCCAACTCACTGTCTGGCACGGAGCCCAGCTGAAACTTTAAAAGGCTCTTCAAATATTAACCTCTTTGATCTCTCAAAGTAAACAAATTAAAGATATTCAACCTAGTGCTCTGGTGGTGAATGGCTGACAGTTTACAGTTCATTTAATTTCTGTGTATGCTGCCTATTAAGCATGGTCATGTATAAATGAGTAGTCGCTATACAAAAATCCTCAGTTCATACCTATCACAAGTGTACTGTGTTTGTAGCATTCCATGCTAGAGGACAGATGTTCTATTTCTCTAAATTAAGAGAGGATGTTATAAACTTTACAACTTGTTTAAAATAATGCAGCTGTAATATTTATTGTGCAGTTCCTAGCCCTAAACTGTGACCAGTTCAAAGTTGCATACATATATATTTTTGTCTTGTCTCTGTTTTCAGTGTTGAAATTCTAATGTTTCACTGTGTTGCTACAAATTTTTCCTCCACACATGTGGAAGGAATGAAAGAATGGGTAAAAAAAACAAACCAAGACCTGCTCTTCCTTGTATTTCATAATGGATGTTGCTGAAAGTTGTGCAAAACTGTTCAAGTCAATGAGAATAAAGTGGATTTAAAGTATTTGTGGGCTCTTCCTATTCATGGTCTATATAGCCTCCCTGTAAAATCAAAACTACTTCTAGGAAGTTATAGAGAGCATACTACCAATAAAGTCTGAGCAAACTGTAAACTACTACCCCCTTACACTACTGCTTTCAGAATCACATTAGGTTTTAAAGCTGTCTCTCAGAAAGGAAAAGCATCCTGTCGCAAGAAAATGAATGTAAAAGAGAACTAGAAAATTCTAATCTAGTATTACCTATTGCTGTAAGAGCAAGAAAAAGCTAGGGCTCTAGAAACACTTTGAATCTTAAGCGATTAAAGGCATTTGATAGTTAACAAATCCATTATTTAAATTTATAACATTTAAACCCAGGAAATGAAAAGCTTATTCAGGAATTCAGTTTTAGGCTTGCCCTAGCAGATCAATGCTTGAAATTTCAAGTTTCAACTAACACAAAAGAACCCAACTGTCAAGTCTTGCTTTTCTTCAATGCACAATCTCAAGACTGTCGATTGTGCAAATGGCTACTTACTTCTGCTCCATCCAGCTCCCCCAGGAAGGGATGAGGAGGACCTCCCTCCTAAAACTGCCTTGGCAGACCTAGTTTAACTTCTTCCCAAGCATCTAGCCCTTTCCCTTCGAAAAGCAAATCAGTGCAAATCCAATGGCTACAGGTGAAAGGTTGTCTCTGTATTTTCCTAAAGACAAGATGTAACTAGTGACCTTTACAGCCACCAGCTTGGCCTTTTAGCATCAGAAAACCACACTCCCAGGTTAAGAGACTGTGTACCCTGTCCTATTAGTCACATCATGTACCTTTCTGCCTTTGTTTCTATAGCTATGAAATGGGCATAGTGATACTTGCCTTAATATAAGCCATGCAGGTTGATCAGGAGGCCCCTGGCTTATTTGGACAACTGATCCCTTCTTAAACAGGGAAACGTGCTGGGTCCATGCATAACAAACTGGGCTCTACTTCTGCAACAGGAGCTTGGCAGCCCATCACATCACCTTTCCCAACCCTCATACTATGGAAGCAGTTGTTGGGGCTCTATATTACTAAGCTTTGCACTTAAAGCAGGGAGATTCAGCATGGCTGAAGAATACCCTACCTATAAATGAACCGTTTGAAAATTTACATGTAAAGCCATTAGCTAGTATGGGAGTAAAAATTAGTTTATAATGGATCCTTTAAGAAATTATTTGACTTATCCCTCATCTCTCAGCTCAGGCATTCCTACAAATGGGTAGATGAATCTTGTAGATCTGGAGCAATGAATAATTTTTGAAAAATGGGATTATTTTTACTTCAGACACTGAAATGACATCCCCTAAAAAACTGTTCTTTCAAAAATGGCAGCCACCTTTTATTGGTATTCATGCAGGACCTAAGACCAGGACTTTGTTGTGCTCAGTGCTGTCTCCAAGAGCTTACAATTCTGCAAGGGAGTGAGGTCACTAGCTACCCTTCACAAAGATGGTCCTACCACCATCCACTTGTTCCTCTCCCCACAGGGGCCATCTTCTCAAAGGGCAGCTTGGCATCACTTACAATACAGGCAGAGGCCCTCTGCTAAGGGCAACCTTTGGCCATTTTGAGACGATCTTAAAAGTGAGGGCAGATATGGGCTCCCTCCCATTGAACTGTGGGTGAGGGTAGATATTGAAAGATGGCAATTTATATTTGACAGCCTTGTACCAATAGCTACTGAAAGAGAAACTTATAAAGAATGACAGACCTTTAAATAGTCATTAGAGCAGGGGGAGGGGTGCCCTAACCAGCAAGCTGTAGAGCAGTGGTCCCCAAATTGTGGGGCATGTCCCATCAGGGGGGATGGGACACAGCAGGCCTAGGCCTGCCCCCCAGAGGGCAGGGAGGGAGCACCTCCCAGCCCCACTCTACCCCCAGTCCCAGCCACCCAGACACTAAAAGTCCAGTTATCTGCACTAACTGGCCTCTGCCACCAGTAGGTGGGGAGGAGCAGCAGCTGCTGTTGCAGGAGCACTCAGGAATGGCTCTAGCAAAGGAGGTATCAGCAGCTCCCCCCTCCTGCCCCCAGTGCAATTGCCCCTCCCCTGGCTGCCCCATTCATCCTCCCAAACCCCAGAGTGCAGCTCCCTCTCTCCCACCGTGCCCCACTCACCCCTCACCTTGGCTCCCAGGGGCATGCAACTGGGTAAGGGGGAGCACAATTGAAAAAGTTTGAGGAGCACTGCTGTAGAGTCATTCTCACTCTCTTCTGGCCTGATGTTCTACAGTAGAACAGTTTCAAGGGGAGAGACTAAGGGAGACCCACAACAGAATATCCCATAGGCCTGTAGTTATCCCATAGCACCCCCCAGAGAGGATTTGAACAGGGGTCTTCCACCTTTTTCCCCATCAAGCAGATGGGGGAAGTGAACCTGGGTCTCCCAGATGAGTGCATTAACCACTAGGCAAAAAGTTAAGGGAGTGTTGGAAAGATTATGCAGGGTACAATGAAGACACTAATAAAACCATAAAGTCTTTTAAGTCCAAAGGCCTAATGGTATTTTATACAATTGCTCTGAACATGCTTAAAAAGCCTAAATAATAGCAATTTAATACATCCAAACACTAACAAAACTTTTATAAGCATTTGATCAAGATACTTACAAACACACCAAACCTAGACCCATATTGGGTAGTTTCAACATGGTCAGGCAGGTACTAGCAAAGCACTCTTTAACTATTACTTTTTATACCCGTTAACAAACAAGTGCTGTTATTACCAATTACTGACTTCAGTTAAAACCAATTTCAGACCAACTTCTAGTCTTAATTCAGATAAGATTTACAACCTCCTTTCTTTCTAAGGCCTTTCCTCCCTCATTCCTCCCCTCCTTTTTGCTGACCAACAGTTTTTCCCTTTGCACCTGGGTTCATATAGGCTTTAACACTGGTAGGTGGGTTGGGATGGGCCATGTTGGCTCATTTTAAAACATTCTTTTTGTCTTATTTAAAACCATCTGCAATCACTCTTATCAATCATAGGTCTTCTTTTTAGAAACTTCCCATTATCTCATTCTTTGAACCAGACTTCCTCCCTACTTTATTCCTTCTGACCGTAACTCATTATTTTCAAGGCCTTTCCTTCTACTTGGTAGTCAGGCCTATCTACATATATAGCTATACACATACCCCTCCTTAATCAAACTTAAGCTAACCTTAATTCTTTAATTTCATACCCTACAGGGATATATCACCACCACCTGCAAGAAACAGCTTAGGTGCCTAGTCCACCTGACACCAGGAGAAGGGGTTCCAGCTATAGATCACAAGCAGAGATGGATAACTAACTCCATGAGAGGAGTGGGGCAGGCCTTAGGACACACCCCTCTCCTCAGCATCCCCTATTGACCAGTTTAGGTAGCTCCCCACCTAGAATCCACAAAAGCCAGTATGATATTTGCAGAAATCCATCTCTCCCCATTCATTGCCTAGACACCTAACTCTGGCTTTGTGGATCCCAATGTTGTTCCAGTGATTTTCTAGGTGCCTAAAAGTTAGGCATTAAGTTCCTTTGTGGATCTGGCCCTTCATCCTCAAAAAAGCAAGAGAAGTTCTTCTTCGAGTGATTGTTCACGTCCAATACACATTAGGTGTACGCGCGCCGCGTGCACGGACGTCGGAAACTTTTTCCCTTAGCGGCTCCCGTCGGGCCGGCAGGGCCCCCTCCCTCCCGCCAGAGCGGCGCCCCGCTCCAGGGTATATATATCCCTGCCGACCCGACCCCTCCAGTTCCTTCTTACCGTCCGTGGCGGCGTTGGAACAACTCTGTCTCTCGTCTGAGAGTGTCCCTTAGCAATAGTCATTAGTGTTATCTAGCAGTTATCAGTTAGTTTATAGTAGTGTTGAGCCAGTAGTTAACAGCTCATTAGGGTACTTAAAGTTCCTGCCGCGGTTGTTTGTTCAACCCCGGCACCGGCCCTGGGCGGCGGGGTATGCCACACGCCCAAGGCTTCAAGGCTTGTGCCATGTGCCGCAGGCCTATGCCATTGAGCGACCCCCACGCCTCGTGTCTCCGTTGCCTGGGGGAAGCTCACCAGAAAGAGCGCTGCAAGATCTGCAAGGCCTTTAAGCCCAGAACTAAAAAAGAGAGGGACTTTCGCCTTAATCAGCTGCTCATGGAGACGGCATTACAGCCCTCCACTTCAATGGCACCGTCTGCCTCCGTGCGGAGCGCCCCGGCATCGGTGCGGGAACCGGCACCGGCGGGTCACCCGAAGCCCACGGCACCGACCCAGCGGGGAAATGCACGACGCCGATCGTCTTCGCCTGCGAAAGCGAAGGGCCAGTCTAAGGCCCGAGGACGCTCCCCGCACAAGAGGCCGGCACCGGTAAAGACCTCGAGTGCCCCTAAGGCCGATACGGCCCCAACACGGACCCCGGTAGTGGCTCCGGCGCCAAAAGGCCCGTCGAGCCCCGGGATGGGC